CTTATATATATAGCTGTATTCCTCTCAGTGTATTGTTTAATAACTTTATAGACCATCCTTGAAGGCTAATGTTACTCCTGAAAGTGTTTCAGTATCTTTTGTTTATCATGTTGATTAACTTTGAAGCATCAGTTTTAGCTGTGCTTAAAACTGATGCTTTGCAGCACTCATTTTAAATGCATTGGAATGATTATAAGCATAAATTACAACAATAATAAACTGATTCTAAAACATGCCAAAATTTGCTTGCTTAAGTTTTGTTACTAGGTAATAGCAAGTGACCGATTAAGTGTGCCCCTATTTCTAACAACCCTTAATATATGAAGGTTTGATAGAACTTTCATACAATTATAGAAACTTTCTGTAAAAATGCATAGAATCTGAGTTACAATATTTGCAGAGATGCATTCATGGTCTTAGACCAGTGATTTTCAACTGGGTGCCACATAACATACTGATAAGCAGCACAACACTTTCTATATGTATTATTATAAGTTATTGTATATTCATAAATAATTTATAATTTTAATTACATAACACCTTTATAATCATGTCATTAAAAATACTGTGTGTACAATTAAAAATTTTTTAATACCTATTATAAATGCATATATAAAGCATATAAAGGAAGAGGAGTGATACAAGAAAAAAATTCAGCATCAAGTTGCATAATTTTCCTGATGAAAAACACTTATGTTTAAGAAATACTAACTTGTAAGACACATTAGCATAAAGTTAAAACTGTTCCTGGAACATCTGTTACAAGACATCATTAAAAAATAACTTTTTATGCTATCATCATTTTATTGGGCTGCAATTTAAAAAAATTGTAGACCTATAAATTTCCACTGTTGTACATCCATCTGTCATTCTTTCCTTAATCTCAAGAACAAAGTTAGATAGATGGAAAACAAGACCAGATATTGAAACTGTAGGGAAAGGAGGCCCCAATTAACTATGTACAAACTTCTAATGCAAACCAGAAGTCATGTTATTTCAATTCAAAAATTTTCCCCTGAAAGGCATTAGATAGATGACTGGCATAACTCTATTGTAAAAAGAAAAGCATGATGTACAGGGGCAAGACACTACCAATTTGAGATTGAGAGCATATATTTTAAATTAAATAAATTAATAATTTTGCAGCCTGGCATTGTGACATTACAATAAATAATTGCTTGTATTACATTGCTGTGGATAATGCCACACAGTGAAATATGAATATTTTTATATGAATTTGTCATGTAATGTCTATCTATGCTGTTACATTTGTTTTCAGTTTTGTGATGTTATAGTAGGTACAGATGATGAGATATCATCATCATGTTTTGAGTCAACTTCATTAGTCTTGGTGGTAAATAGCTGGATTGTCACTGAAACACTGGCTGGATTGATGTGTGTTGTCATCTATTGTATGTATCTTGTGATGGTAGATGTGTTTGTAATGCAGTAATCATATCTAAGCCAGTACTGTATTTGCCACTGGTGACCAAAAGAGACTGTGGTCATTTTTCAAACATGATCCTACACAGCTAATCTTGCAGTTAGGCAGAGGCCTAATCCCTAACAGGACCTTGTTAACTTGAGTGATATCTGAGCTTGTCTTAAGATAAGAACTTGTCACAACTATTTTTTCCTCTTCAGCAAAGTGAGTATGCTTATATACCTAAAGCCAGGTGTTTACAGATCAGTTGCCCTTTACACTGTTCAGCAGTCATCTACTCTAGATCAGATGCTGCTTGTGAGTCCTTTTTTTGCTTCTTTCTTCCCATAGATCCTACTTGCATGGGTGCTAAAGCTCACGCTCTGCTGTCATTGCTTTATGGTTTATTAGAACTAATGGGCTCTTCACTAAAACAAAGTGGTAAACTAGTAAGAGTAGTGACTTCACAACTATAATCACAAAATAAATCAGATGTATCTTCTGAATAGTTAAACTATAAATTTTGACATTAAAGTTGAATAATTATGTTAAAAAATCCTATGTTTTGTTTTGATATGGCATATTTTTCAAGAGAAACTATTTATCCAGCTTTTTCATTTCAAGGATCTGGTCACTTTACGTTTATTGTAATTGTGGCTTATTGTTATTAGTTATCTAATATTATCAAAATTAGCATGTTTCAAAACACAAATTAAACATTATAAAACTTTTGTTTATTTCAATCAGAAATTCACTTATAATTATCATTATGTTACTAATGATAAGTTTGAATTTACTTAGGTAATAACAACAATCAATTGACAAAACAGATAACAGTTGTAAATTATTTCATGTCATTCTAATAAAAAAGATAACTATCAGATTCAATTTACATTAAATCATCCAATCATATAAGATTTTTTACTTTGTGATAAATTTTAAACATTTGTTTTAATCTTGCATTCAATACTGTATACTTTACTTCTTACATTTTGGCAATTTATCAAATATTTCAATTCAAAATATTCTGATTACAACTATTAATTTAATGGAGTGTAAATACATACACATCTACTTATAAGCACTTGAGTTACAAACTCATTTTCAGATAAACTAATTCCAAAATGTTACTAAAAGTAGCTATCATCATAATATGTTTTACTTTAAGCTATATTAAAGCATTTGTTGTAATTTGTATATTTGATGAAGTTGAATTTGTTTTCATCAAAATCAAATTAAATTATACCTTGTAATGTATACAGAGTGTGCAAGAAGTCATGTCACTCCCCACATTATATTGTACTTGTCCAGAACATCAGTATGAGTTCCATTATGATCACAGCAGTCAGCTATGGCACTAAGTTCACTTAAATGTTTTGCAAGAATAATGTGGTGTTAGAATAGAAAATGTTCCTATTAATGCACTCTTCAACACTTCTGACTTTCACCATAATGAAACCACAGGTACTTGGACAAACTGGTGGATTGGCCTTAAATCCAAAGCATCCACAGAACCTCTCCCATGGTCACCAAGAAGAGTCAAATCAACAGTGCTACTAGACAACAGAAATGCAACAACAGCATTTTTGCTTCTCACACCAGATTATCTCCACAGAACATCTCAGTGAACTTGGTGGCATATCAGACTCTGCCCTGATCTGCTCTGCTCATACTAATGTTCTGGACAAGTATAAGATTGGTTCTGACATATAATACATTCTGGTATCTTTTTACAGAAAAAAACCTATTTTATTATTGTTTACCATTTATAGAAAAAAAATATATTATTACCATTTTTGATGTAAATGTCCATCATCAATGACATAAAACAATTCATTCAAACATGAATCATTCCAGAAATATGAGTTTCAAACAAGAATATTCAGATGAATCTTTAGTAAATGTAAGCTCTAATGAATCAGTATGCTTCATATCTTTTAACAATTTTATTATGTATTCACACTATAAATATATATTGTAAACAGTCAAAACTTATAATAATTCAAAATATTCAGTTTTATTATTACTGAAATAAAGAATTATTAAAACTGCTGTTTGGAATATTTCATACTTTGCCTTCAAACTATTTTAGCATAATGCATATATCAAAATATTTCAATAACAACTTAATCAACACCTGATCACTCGCTGAGAGATTTATTAATAAAACAAACGTTTTCAATCCAATCAATGGATCATCCTCAGGTTATATGAAACATTTCAAAAAATAGAATATGTTGGGGTTACTACTAGAAACCTAGGTGTAAGGATAAAAGAGCACAGATATGATATTAGAAAAGGTTCTAATGCCACAGTATTGGCTCAAATGGCACAAACGGAAGGTTCAATATTACGATGGATGAAGCGGAAATCCTGAAACAGGTACACTCTCCGACTTTGGCAAGAATGACTGAAAAGTTAGAAATTTATAGAAGCAAATTTAAAGGAAATTGCATCAACGCAAGAGATGCAGAGGGACTTCCTTCCATCTGGAAGTTTGCAATTAAAAACTTAAAATAAGAACAGGAACTTTAATAATATTTGTAGTAAAAACTCTGTATAGTTAAGTAGAAAAACTCAGTATAGTTAAGTAAGCAATAATAATATTTAGTATTAACAGTTTGTCTATTAAGTTAGAGGTAGTAACATTTAGTATTCACAATTTGTTTGTTATTTTTGACTATTTTTATTTTATTTTTAGTATTAGCAGCATTTGTATTAATTTTATTATTTAAAAACATTTTTTAATAGCGTATATGTTAACGGTTATTAATATTTATATTTTGTATTTTGAACTTCTTGTTCTATTTTTTGAAATGTTCCATATAACCTGAGGATGATCCATTGATTGGATTGAAAACGTTTGTTTTATTAATAAATCTCTCAGCGAGTGATCAGGTGTTGATTAAGTTATTATTTTCTGCTGAGTATGCTTCGGTTGTTTATTTCAATAACTTATGCTACATTTGGTTATTAAATCAAATTATTAAATAAAGGCAAAATAATTTTAATTATTAATAACAGTAAATAATTTAAATAGCAGTAAAATGATTTTTATAAAATTATTTCACATACAGGTTTTGGAAGTCTCATTAGGAATAACTGAATAATTTACACATTTGTATGTTGTGTGTGATTTTAATATGAAAATTACAACCACTTATACCTTGCAAAAGACTAATGAATAAATTAAAATATAAAGAAAGTAAACCAATATAAGGAAATCGTATTTATATCAATATCATTATAAAATTAAATAAATTATTATTCTGCATAAAAAAATTTAATAACTTTACAAGTGTTTGAATCAATATAAAACAATGCCAAAAATGGAAACTGAAAACAATTTTAGTTTGAAACTTACTTCAATTTAGTTATATTTGAATATTGAAAACTTTGCTAATATTACAATTTTTTCATGCAAATCAAGTACTTCACAAAAGGAGTCTTAGCAGGAAAACTAGCTTAGTTAATTTGCATATTAAATATGCTTTTAATGATATAATTATTGTAAAAACAGAATGCTAAACAATTAAATGTCTTTCTATTGCCAATTATGAAAGATTAATTTTCTTACCTTCTGCAGTGATATCAACATCATCTATCTTATCAATATCATCATCTCGTAAACATTCTTCCTCAGTCATTTCTGTTTTCTCATTATTAATAATTTCTGTGCTTTCCTTTGTTTCATCAACAGCTTTATCCTGCTCTTCAGTTTCTGCTAGGCCTGTATCTTGTTCTTCAGAGCTATGCTGTTCTTCTTGATCCTGAGAAATATTTTCTGATTCCTGCTTCTCTGTTTTTTCAGCTTTATCATCCGAAGTAACTGACTCATTTTGTTCCTTCTCATCTGATTTTTCGGATTTTTTAGAATCTGAATTTTTCTATGGTAAATTTAAAATGAAGAAACAGAAATTCATAAAATCAGAAAAATAATTGATATTAAAAATTTTCAGTAATTTTTAATTTCCTACATTATAGTTCATATTGTTATTAAACACAAAAAAAATAAAAAATAATAAAAAAACAGCTAATTAAGGAAACCAACAAAAATTATGTGTTTGTTCAATAATAATTTCTGGTACCAAGATAAATAGAATTTTTGAACAGTTCATATTAACATATAATTTCTATATCTTATATCTTAAAATAAAAATTTAGATGATAACTATCATCACCAATAGTGTACTTAATTACATTAAGACATTTTTATAGCTTGATTAAATAATATGCTATACATATATATAGCACATTATTTAATATTAATAAATTATTTATAGCTAGTTACTTTTTATTCAAATTAAAAAACAAAATCAAGCTATAAAAATGTCTATATATATTACAAAAGTTTGTGAAAAACTTGGTACCATGTTTGACAAAAGAAATAAATTGCTGCTAAATTTTTCAAAACCAAATGAACTGAACTGTTTTTGGCACTTGCAATTAAACCATCTTCAGCAAACAAAATCAGGTCTAGAATATTCTGGTAGAGCTGCTTCGGTACAGATGAGATTAAAACAGTTAGAGCAGTTTCAGAGTTAGACATGATTATTTTGACTACCAGGTTTAGTAGTATTTCCATCTAGTTGAACTACTGTTTACTAATACTGATTGAAAATTTATCATCATCTGTGTGATTCATGCAAAATTCAAGCTGAATGTGCAGCTTCAGCACAATTCTTTGTGCAATTTTGACCAATGATAAGATATTCATAGATATAACAAAAACTAGATTATTCAGTGTTTTAGATAGTCTTTTAAATTAAATTTTTTTCTGATATAATAGATGTTCTATTCAATCACAATTCTTTTGGCTGAAAGTAGGACTTGAGATAAAAATACTCAATTGCCAAAAAATGTAGCAGCAATTTCTCTCTCTTTTATCTCTAATTATTATTATGTTGGGTTTAGTAGGTAATACTCGGTTTAAACCGGTGGCTGTGTACTATGCCGGACCAGAGTCAAGGCATAGCAACCAAAANTCCCATGGTCACCAAGAAGAGTCAAATCAACAGTGCTACTAGACAACAGAAATGCAACAACAGCATTTTTGCTTCTCACACCAGATTATCTCCACAGAATGTGGGTGTATGGTCACTCTTAGTTTCATTTCTCCCCATAGACCTTACTGGCATGGGTGTCCCTACCAGGAGCTTGTGCTCCAGCCTGCATTGCCCTATGGATCTGTAAAACTACTGGGCTCTCCCACCACGACCAGGTGGTGACCACGGGAGAGTTATTATTATTATTATTATTGTAGCAACAGTATTAATTCAATTGTATAAAATTTATATTATTCTTAGTTTTGTACAGGGTTTGTGTTTAATTGTTGTCAAGTATTACAGTAAAAAAGTATTAAACTTAGATGTGCTCATTGGTTGTAATTACCTACCTTGTAATTGTTAAGAATATGAGTGTTCAATTTACAATGTTCCACTTTTGCATTTGGTTCATATTTGAAGAATTTATAGCACACTTTGCAATAATAACCATGAAGAAGAAGAACTGATGATAAACCTGTTTAAAATGTTTAAAACATTCACTTAGATTTATGTATTGCATAATCAAATTAAATATTTATATATTGGAAATTTTAATGATTTATGAAACTACAACATTAATAAAATTGTGTGTTAAAAAAGCCTTTAAAAGTAGTTTCTATTTTATAAAATTTTATTACTTTTATTAAAAAATTACTTACCAATTGGTTTTTCTTCTTCTTCAACTTTTATTTCATTATTCTAAAATTAAAGAAATAAATTATTCATTATTTTTAAAATAAATCATCATTATTATTAATTATAAAGAAAGATAATATTGGGATAAAGTGGTCATGTTTTTTTTTATTGCTCAATTAAATATTTTTACAATAGCATTCAATTTTCTCATAGAAGTGTGACTTTTGGAGTTTAAGTGTAAGGACATGTTACTAGTTAGTTAAACTGATTTGAATAGTTTTAATTTTATTTTGTGAACATTTTAATTCTCTGAAATGAAACAAAACAACATACATCTGACACATGTTTTGCTGTGTTGTTTGTGAAAAGGTTTAAATGCAATTAAGGAGACATCAGAAATTTGCAAAGTTTACTGACACTATAAAGGTGAAAAAACTTCAATTTTGATTTGCTAAGTTTTGGAGGGATATTTTAGCTTAAATGATGATGAGTGTTCTGGTTGAAGCCAATCCAAAAATTACCACAAGGCTATAAACTAAATGTAAGCCAAAAATGTAAATGCAACCCCCTTAGAAGGCTTGAAAAAGTTCCTAAGATGTATGGGTTCTATGCAAGTTGATAGAAACTGATCTTGCATAACAATTAAGTACTGCTGGATTATTTTTGATTGTCAAAAGAAAGACCCATTTTAAGATTGAGTAATTACTGGAAATAAAAAATGGATATTATACATTTATATTCAATAAAAACAATTTCAGCTAAATCCAACAGAGCCCTCAACACCTACACCAAAAAGTGGACAGACTACACCCAAAAAAGCAATGTTGTGCATATGGTGGGATGTAACGAAAAGTGTGTATTATAAACAAGTAGATCCAAACCAAACCATAAATGCCAACACACACTGTGAACAATTAGACTGTTTAAGCAAAGCATTAAAGGACTAAAGACTGGAGCTAATAACTACAAGGGTATTATACTGCATCATGATAATGCAAGACCACACGTTGCTAAAGTAACTCTAGAAAAAATAAGAGAATTGCAGTAGGAAATTTTGCCTCATCTGCCATATTTTCCAAATTTGGCACACTCAGATTATTATTTGTTTAAATCATTACAGAATTATTTAGACAGAAAAAAAAAGTTTGTTGAATTGATGAAGTCAAAAATGCTATTGTGGAATATACTGCCTCAAAATCGGAGGACATTTTCAGAAGAGGAATTGAGAAATTGGTAGAAAAACAGCAATTTGTGATACAACAAAATGGATCATACATAATTGATTAATTGTTTGTATTTGTAAGTTAAATAAAATGTTAAAATAAACATATGTACAAAGACTTGTTACTCAACCCAATACTTTTGACTTGAGAAGCACATTAATAAACATTATATTTCTTAAAAAGAAATATTAAAATTCAAAACACACATCAATTATCAATGTTAATTTTCTGATTAGTCAGATTAAAATTTACTTGCTGTCTTGTTAAATATTTTTAATTTTCAAAGCTTTACTTACATCTGATTCTTCAACAGGTTCAGAAACAACTTCCTCAATTTTTTCTTCTTCAAGAAGATCTTTAAGCTGTAATTGATAATATTNTTTTTAATTTCTGTAAGATTTTCTTATTTTTTATTAACCCTCAATACTGAAATAATCCCAGGATCCCGGGATCGAATAAGTATAATCCCGAAATCCCGGGATTAGAAATAAGGACCGGGATCGAATTCCCTAATCCCGAGCCAGTAATTTATTTTTGTTCCCAAAGCAAAAAAACTCACTGAAAAGTTGACATTTTGAATCCATTGAGAATGTTAAACAAGTTCATCCACAAAATTATGCATTATTCCAAAAAAAGAATTTCAGGTGATCTTTCAAAAATGATGTTCACTGTATTAGGAATAATGGTAATATTTTAAAAAGTAATAAGGTCTAATAACTCTTATTTTTTGTTAAAACAGTTCAGAAATATTTCAGTTGTACCTGATGTATGATATATTTATATGTAAACTTTCATGACACCAAACACAAAAGATTATATATACAGTAGACTCCCCTGTAACACAGGTTCATATAATACGGATTCATATAAAACGGCGGAAAAATTGCGATTGTATTTGTTAAACACGCTAAAAGAAACCTGTATGATACAGTAAAACGTCATCGCCGACTCGTGTCGTGACAAACAGGTTCAGAAACAACTTCCTCAATTTTTTCTTCTTCAAGAAGATCTTTAAGCTGTAATTGATAATATTATGTAAAAACACAATAAATTTTATTCAATTCAAAAAAATTGTCCAAAATAATAAGGTTAAAATTTTGAACTCTGACATTCTGAATATATAATCATTCATTTGAAAAACATTCAAATGAATATCTTTTCTTTGAAACTGTATGATAGAAATGTCTTAGAACCTTAACATGAAGATCTTAACTAACATATGATTACAATATTGTCAGAAAAAATGAAATTGGATGAATTTTATTTGGTTGCACACTTGATAAACTTACCTTGATACAGGTTATCACAGAAATGTAGTAACCAATAATGATTATGTATGAGGTATCTGAAAATCCCATGATTTCTTAAAAGTAATATGTCAGTGCAAAAGCATATTACTTTTAAAATGCTCAATAGATAACATATTGTACCACTGACTAAGTTGACTGTTGTAAGCTGTTTCCAGCTATTTATTTAGTCTGTCTTCTAAGTAAAGATAAAGTAAACAGATGTATATGGCTTTACTAATTTTTTTGTTGTTGAAAAATGCTCACTTTCTACAGATAGTATATACATTGAAATTTGTGTTAAATGAAGAAAAAATTTTATACACACATCTGAAATGTTAACACAAGCATTTTATAGTGAATGCATGAACTGATTGCCAATGTATGAGTGGCACAAATGTTTTAAGGAGAGATGAATGCTGGTCAAAGATAATTTGTGTTCTGGATGACCACTGACATCAACAAACAATGTATCAGGAGAGTTATAAATAAGGAGTAGTATCTAGAGGCGATGAAAATATTTGAGAGAAACAGTGAGAGAGAATGAGAGCCTGACTTATGGTAGAAGAAACAGATGCTACACCATGACAATACAATATATTCATTACTGTTGATTCATAAGTTTTCTTCAAAAGCATGAGACAATACTCACAACTCAAATACTGGTCAGATCCCGAGTAGAGGATTTGATCCCGGGATCCCGACCACTTTTCAGTCCCAAAAATTTCGGGATTAAGTTTTCCTAATCCCGAGATTTTCGGGATTGACATCATTTTAAAAAAAGTTGCAAAATAGACTGCATGAAGCGAAACATTCAGTGCCAGTGCTTTTAACAAAATTGCTTGCCTATCATTTTAGTTGAAAATACAAGAAGTTTTATTCCAAGCAAGCATCGCAAGCCCGCTAGGTTAATTTCTGCTGCTTGCTTGGAATAAAATTTCTTGTATTTTATATTAAAATGATAGGCAAGCAATTCTGTTAAAAGCACTGGCACTGAACGTTTCGCTTCATGCAGTCTATTTTGCAATTTTTTTAAAATGATGTCAATCCCGAAAATCCCGGGATTAGGAAAACTTAATCCCGAAAATTTTGGGACTGAAAAGTGGTCGGGATCC